TACCCACAGAATGAAAGAAAATATTTGCAAAGAGTATATCTAATAAGAAATTAATGTCAAGAATATCTAAAAAATCTCTTCAACTAAAAAATAAAAAGAGAAATATGCCAACTTAAAAATGGGCCAAGGATTTTGACAGACACTTCTCCAAAGAAGATATATAAATTTACATTAAGCATGTGAGACTATGCTCAATAGAATAGTTATTAAGAAGTTGTATTCAAATGATGATGAGTTGCCACTTCACCCCAGTTGGGAAGGGTATAATAAAAATGATAAACAATAGTGAGGAAATTGGAACCCTCATATGTTGCTGGTAGGGATTTAAAATGTACAGCTGCTCTGGGAAACTATTTGGCAGTCACTCCAAAAGCTAAACATAGAGTTAGCAGATGACCTGACAATTCCACTCCTTGGTATATATATAAGAGAAAGGAAAAACATATCTACATAAAAACTTATATATGAATGTTTATAGTAACATTATTCAAAATAGCGCAAAGTGAAAATAGCACAAATGTCCGTCAGCATATGGATGGATAACAAATATGGTGTGTCCATACATAGAAATATCATTTGCAATAGAAAAGTGCTATCTAACAATTTAAGAAAATTCTCCATCACTATTGCTAAACAATATTATTTCTTCTATTCTCTTTCTTTTCTCTTCCAATCTTACACTTTTTGCTGTTCACCTACATTTCTTAAATACTCTGTTCTGATTTTTTTCAGTTTCAGTCATTTTTTTCTCTTTGCTTTTCTGTTTGGCATATTTCTATTGACATATCACCAAGCTCAGCGATTCTTTCCTTAGTCATGTCTATTCATCTAATGAGCCCATCAAAAGCATGCTTAATTTCTCTTTCACTAGTTTTACTCTCTAGAATTTTTATTATTTTTCTTAGAATTTCCATCTCTCTCTTTGAAGGTCCTATCTGTTCTTGCATATTGATTATGAATGAGAGCCCTTAGGATATTAATCATAGTTTTTTCACATTCCTTTCTGATCATTCCAACATTCCTGCCATATCTTAGTCTTGTTCCAACATCCCTGCCATATCTGAGTCTTGACTGTTCATATTGTGTTTTTTTGTCTTGGGTAGTACTTATAATTTGTCCTTGATAGTTGCATATGAGGTACTTGGTAAAGAAGTTGCCATAAAAGGACCTTTGGTAATGTGGTGGAGAACTATTCTTCAGTACTAAAATTTGATCTCCATGTTTTAGTGAGTCTCTGAACTGTGAACTTCACAAGTACTTCTCATTTGCTTTTCCCCTTAAGTGGAATAGGATAGTTGGAGTTAGCATTTCAAAGCTGTGTACAGGGAAATGCCCAACTCCAACTACACTAAGGTAAAACAGTTTCTCTTAAGGCAGACCTTGTTAAGAAGAAATGGGTTATTTAAAAATGGTTCTACTCTCACAGGTTGTCAGAATGAAATATGTTTTTAATCACTGTCGAGCTTGGAGGAGATCCTTGAGGCCAAAAATCTCAAAAGTGTGCAGGCCTGCACTTCCATTAGGAGTTTAAAGTCTCAGCTTTGTCCACAGGTTTTCTTATTCAGGCACTTGTTCCCACAGATGTTTCTGCTTAGGGTTCCTGCTGTGGTGAGTTGTGGTTCTTTATATTGTCTGTCTCCCCAATTTAGGGGACAGCAGTTTACACTATGATCTCTTTGAGAAATCTAAGAAGATTTTCAGTTTGTTTGGGTTTTTACTTGTTAGAACAGAGTGACAACTTCCAGGCTTCTGATGCCCCAGACTGGAGACTGGAAAATGGGATCTTCTTTTGAAGGATGAAAATGCTCTGGAATTGGGTAGGGATGATGGGACAATGCTATTACACACCAAAATCCACTGAAGTGCATATTTTTTTAAAGAGTGAATCTCATGGCATGCCAATTATACCTCAATAATAAAATAATGGAAAAGTTTGGCAAGAATGCCAAATAACCCTCACAACTCTCATTGCTGATGATAAAGAAAACAGATGTTGAGCAATGCTATTTTTGACAAAAAGCAGTCCCGTAATAACATATAGCTGGGGTTTTTTGTTTTGTTTTTTCAAAGCTGTGTCTAAAAAAAAATCCCCCAAACTATAATGCAATGCTGCTAGGTAACAGGGAGTTGTGTAATTCTATCATTTACTCTGCTTCAGTGTGTTTTTTTTAGCTTGAGTGAAATACTTTTCACATTTGGTCAACAATTTTAACTGATAATTCTGTCCACCCTTTTTTTTTCTTCCTAGACAGGATTCAACAGTTAGAAGTCAGCTGGGCAGCAATTCTTATTCTATATGTATGGAACAATTATATCATCATTATTGTTATTCATATTCTATTTGTATGTATATAATAAATATAATAAAACCTTTAGACTAGAATATGGGACCATCTACAGAAATACTTTATCCTCTATCCCTATTTTTAATCAGGCTTCAAAACCCTGGCCACTTACTGGGAAAAATGTTCCTAGATGATTCAGGCATTGGCTGGGAACCTAGAAAGATAAGGGATCTCATAAACCAAAAGGGCAGAGGAAATAAGAGACCAAAAGAAAATAAAAAACAGATTTACAGTGATAATCCTTGGGTGAGACAGATTTGTGACTCTATTTTACAGTTGTGTCTCTATTTTACAATAGTAAAGAAAGAAAACTAATGCAAATAATCAAATTCTATTTTAAAGCAGAGCTCTCTAATTCAGAAGAGGATTGAGGATGCATATAATTATCATGACCATTTTCTCTCAGCTGTTCTATTTCATTCTATTCCTTTCTGCAGTTTTCAGCATCATTTAGGATATTGTTATACCCTAGTCATGTTAATTGTAAAGAGATAGAAAAGTTATTTCTAAAACTGTGTCATAAGTACAGTTCTGCAATTACTTTAGTGTCACTAAACTCAAATCCACCAGGCTTGGATTTGAGTCACACTCCACCTACTCCTCAGTTTGTGGTTCAGATGCATATTTCAGGTTGAACTTTGTTTTCCTCTTATGTGAAGTGGGAATAATATTAGTGAGTACATTCTTACTTGACATCTTACTTCGCACACAAGAATTTTAAAAATTCTAACTAATACAATTCATTTAATGTTCATATAAGTCATATGAAGTTATGCTCTTCTACTAAATAGTTGATTTTTGTTTTGAGGTTTAAAAAACCAAATGGCTCCACAGTTTATGTTTAATATGCCCATTTATTCTTTCTTGAACTTCAGTGCCTTGGTTCTGGCCCTAGATTAACTATTAACTCATCAACATCTTTGGCTAACATTGAAGAATTTGGTGTTTGGTTCATTATATGTATACAGTTAAGGAATTTACAGCCTTCACAGTCCAATGACAGTCCTAGAAATGGCCATCCCAGCAAATGTGCTCACCAAGAAGCACCTATGTATTAGGACCGTTCCCAAGTAGCAATTTGTTTCTATGGCACCTACGAAGAGAAACAGAATTTCCTGCTCCCTGAGAGTAGAAAAATACCAAGTTGTTAAGACCCCAGTTTTGGGTACAAAAAATGGTATTTTCCAAAAGGCACTAAAATTAGATCTTAGAATTGCTTTTCTTTATTTAGGTAACTAAAGGACTGTGATTTAACTTCATATTAACATTTAATGTAAAAGGTTAGATATGTGTTTGACTTACAAAGCTGATGACACAAGTTTCTAAAATCTAAAATGTTACTTTTGCTTCATTTAGGAGTGAAAATAATACAGTTAAAAAGAAATCACTTTCTTGGTAATGAAGAACTTAGGAAGAAGAACCCAAGAAAACATCAGGATGAAATTCAATATCATTATAAAGGAGAAGGAAAGAAATTTGGACATTAATTATTCAGTTTTAGAAATAGTTTTTGAAAAACTTCTAAGTACTGACACTTGGGTAGATGCACTGGGGACAGTCATATTAGTTAGTCTCTGCCTTCACAAAGCTTTCAATCTAGCTGGGAAGAGTGACTCTGATTTTACCACAGAGTTGAAAATGTTTCATTAGCAAGTTGATCCTGGATGCAGTGGGACACTGTGGGAGGGAAGTCAGAGGACAGGAAAAAAATGAAGCCTGAGAGAGACACAACAGAGACTCCTCAGAAAAAGCAAAACCAGTTTTATTACAGAAAGTATCTGTCCTTCTGAAAATCAAACACATTTAATTCTCTGTATAATACACTGAAGATATGTCATGTTCTTCAAAATTTCGTTCCTCCAAATGATTCCAAGGCTCAATCACGATTACAAAATACATGAAATTAAGTATATTAACATGACAAACTACTCAGTACTCTATATAGTATATATTCACACGATTTGTACAAATTAACATGGACTACATGAAGTTTTTAAGTATCCCTCCTAGCTGGAGTGAACATTCTTTTAACATTGTCCCTTGGTTTCCTTTACTTTGAAAGATGGTCAGTGAAAGTTAAAAATGAGTTAATATATAGGCACTGCTGTAGAGAAAATACATTTTGTGTTTCTATATATTATAAGCTGGAAATGCCTTTTTATGCCAGAAAGCTTCACAAACACTGAATAAGTCTATAAATGATGGAAAACCTCTTGACTACCAATTCAAATGAATATTTAACTATTTGCAGCAAAACTAATTTACTTATTAAACTAATTACTCTAAAATGCTTTGGTTGTCAGGTACCAGGTTAATTTTGAAATCAGGGAATTGTTTTCCCACTTAATTCTTGTGGGTAGCCCAATTCCCCATGATATTCTTAGCTGAAAAGCATTCTTTATACATTTTTATCTTAAGTGATACTCAATTACAAGAAGGAAATTAAGTCCTCTCTTTAAAAAAATTGCTCTTGAATGACTTCAGGCTCTTTTTTGGCTCCACATACTGATGGTGGCTATTATATTCTGTCAGCCCCATAGCATACTAAATTGATGCCTGTCATCAACTGAAGATGGTTCAATCTGACAATCTAATCTAATCAGGATTGCCCAGTGTCATGACAGTATCAGGTGACTATACTTCTGAGGTCATTTCATAATAATACCTCAAGGAAATTTCCCTCCAATAAATACAGTTTAAAAATCTTTATATCATATGCATGATATCACTTCAAGGAAGTCTAGCCAAAACTATTGCCAGAAGATTCCAAAGCCCATACGTTTTGTTCCAAATGTAATCACAACCATAACAAAAACAATACAATTGTTTCACAACAAGTCAAGAAAATCTTGGTCTTCCTTAAATGAGTTCAGCCCCATTCCCTGGAGAATGAAAGTATGTGTTAGGTTGTGCTTGCTTTTAAACGAATGTCCTCTGGAACCACATGCGCCTAGCAGTTTCAGATTTTCTCATTATCATCATTATTGATTTTTTTAAATGCAACTGGGCTTGCTTGCTTCAAGGAAGTCTTAGAAACATCTGTATGCATGGTAGACATAGCTATTGTCTCATAGTCATCATCCCGAGACCGGAAATCACAAAAGTTGAAGAAGAACTGCAAGTCTCTCTGGAAATTTTTGTTCAGGAATCCATAAAAAATGGGGTTGACACAGGTGGATATCATTGCTGTGAGGTGGCAGAGGAGGAATAAGAGATTGTGGTTGCACGTGGCAATGATCTGATGATTCCAATCAAACACGGTGTTGAAGATGGTGAGAGGGAGCCAGCAGACTGCGAATGCTACCACGATAGACAACAGCATGACATTGATTCTTTTGGTTTCACTGGATCTATACTTATTGTCTCTCATCTTGTCCACCATGTTGTTTCTCCTTTTTAAGCGAATATATATCTATAAAGGGAAAAAAAGTGAATTCAAATAGAACCACTCATTTAATGAGGAATTCTGCGGAAAGAAGATAAAGGGCAAATGATAAGAAAGAAAAGTTTTCTTACCTTGAAATAGCATATAAATATGAAGCAGAGTGGGCCAAAATACTGGAGCACCAACAGAAGAGTAGTGTAAGACAACCGATGGGAGTCTGATGGAAATTTATCAAAGCACACGTATTTGTCTTTAAATGCATCAAGTGTTACATTCTGGAAAGGCTCATCAGTCAGTACTTGATAGATTAGGAAGGGCAGAGAAGAAGCCACAGCCAGGATCCAGATGACAGCAATACCTATGTAAGCATGTCTATTATTTGGTCTCCACCCTCGTGGGTTGATGATCAGCTGATGTCGTTCCACCGCAATGAGAACCAGAGAGAAAATGGACACAGTGATTGAAACGCATTGCACAAAAGGATTCAATTTGCACATTGTCTCACCAAAGACCCAGTGGTCCATGAGCGTGTAAACAAACGTAAACGGGAGACACATAATAGCCACTAACAAGTCTGAGAAGGAAAGGTTCACAATGAGGATGTTGGTAACATTTCTCATCTCCTTCTGTTTCAAGATGATTATGATCAAGGCCAGGTTTCCAGAGATCCCAAGAATGATCACAGCTCCATAAGCAAGAGCCAATGTAAATATCACAGCCAAGGGTAGGTGACAATCATCATTCTCAAAAGCCAAAAATGGAGATGTCTTCTCTGATAAATTATAGTTAACTGAATGATTTTCACCCTGGGAAAATAATGTTGAATTCATTTTGATTGGTTTTGTTGCTAGAGATTAGACAAATGGGCAGTATGTTTCTTCAAAGCAGGTTAAATGTTCAGCTTATTCTTATTCCACAGATTGGAATCCATTTACCTACATTATTCTGGATTCTTCATTCCCTTGAACTGAACCATCTGTAAAGAGAAAATGACCAACTGCATTACTAATTTTATCGAGGGCTGTCAAAATGAATTCCGACTCATAGAACTCTTTAAAATGAAGACACTGAAATAAGCAAACAAAATGTAATCTTGTAAATATCTCTTTAAAACAATAGAAACTGTGCAAACATTTTAAGTTTTAAAAATTCTGCTAGGTATGGTGGTGTTACACTTATAATCTGAGCACTCTCAGAAGTCTGAAGTGGAAGAATCCCAAGTATAAGGCCAGCCTTGACTACAGCCTGTACTATATAATGAGTTCAAGGCCAGCCTGATGACATAACTAGAGACTCCATCTAAAAAAATTTTTAAATCCTGAAATAATTTTAATTGGACTTTCTATGATCCAAAAGTTAGTAAGGCACATCTAAATCTCATGCCTCCCCCCAAGTCAAACAAATAGTACCATCAACACATTCTTAAGCATTGAAAAAATATGAAGGTTAATGAACAAAGGAAGACATTAAAAATATGGAACAGGCAAAGCAAAACAACAACAAACACATAATTCTTCTTATCATAGAAAAGGAAGAACAAGTATAGAGGCCAAGTTGTGGAAACAGCTAACTATACACAGGATTGCTTTTTAAGGCAGACATTATTTACCTCAAATATATTCAAAAGGAGATGATCAATACAATAGAACATCAAAAAGAATTGTCCTCTGAGGGCCTGTTGAAAGACCAGATGATGTTTAATTCAGAATACTTGCAATGATCTCTATCATTCTTCTCATATTTTATTATTTTTTCTATTTTTATGAACATATTATTGTTCTACTGGGGGCACATTGTGACATTTACAAAAGTGCTTACAATATATCTTAGTTAAATTCATCCCCTCCATCATTCTCCTTCACTACCCCCCCATTTTTAGAATAGTTTCAATAGGTCTCATTTTTCCATTTTCATACATGAGTACACAATATTTCCACCATATTCACCCTCCTACACCCTTTCCTTATATTCTCCTCCCTCCACTGGTACCAATTCACCAATCATCAGACAAGACCTGTTTTACCTGCTTGTCCTCCATTTTTGAAAAAAAGATTTTTGTTTGTTAAAGATAGGTATATAGGGAGTTTCATTACACTCTTCTCATATTTTAATGGGTGGCCTGTAGAATATACAGAAGCAGACTTAGAATATTATTTCCAACTATATAAGTTAGAAATAGGACCAAAGGATGCACATTATTTTTTAATAAAAATAATAAAATTATGAGGAACCAAAGTTTAATCAAATGAACAAACTGCCTGCAAAAGTAGCAAGTGCTCCATACATAAAATTTCACAGCTACTACATGAACTTTGAGCAATTCTTGCATTTGTAGGAGATCTTAATTTTGAGACCCTATAATTTTTGTTAGTATGTCAGAGGTTTTCAAAAGATATTTAAGGTTTTATCCATGTAAATATTCTCCCTCCCCATCAGATGATACATGTATCCAAAGCAAGGGCATGGATTTTAGTAGTAATTTTAATTTTTGGGGAGGGTGCTGAGAGTTGAACCCAGAGTCTCACGTATGGTAGACAAGTACTCTACCACTTAACTTACACTCCCCAAACCTATAATTTTAATTATCCACAGCATTTTGTGATATAAGTATACATCTATTATTAACAAGACAAATCTTGTACAGGTCAAAGGCTCCTTTAAATAAAAAAGAAAGAAAAACCTCTGATTTTCCCTAGATTACTAAGTAAAATACATGAGAAGGGATTTCTTATGTTAATTAACACACTACTGTACCTGTGTTAAGAAATCAAATTCATTCATTGTCTTTCTTATGTTAGAACAGTAAAGAAAATTGTGATTTATGCCACTGAAGAAGAATAAGAAATGTAATGAACAAAGGTGCATTTACTTTTTAAGTGATTTCTCTGATAAACCTTTCCTTTAGTGTTTTTGCTTTCTAGAACATAAGGTATTCTCTATCATGAAGCCACAATGTGGCTTATAAAACTGAAGAGGAATAAAAATAAAGGTTGCTAGCACTAAGTCAAAAGAAATGTTAAGGAATGGTAATGGAGTGATTTCAAGGGTGAATATTGTTAGAAATATGGCTTTCTCCTCTATGAAACAACCTGGAATGACTCCCTAATACTTATGGGTCATCACACTTTTTCTCTCATGAATTCCAAATGCAGTGAGAGAATAATCAATTAATATCTGTTAGGGTGTAAGAACAAACAGAAGAAGTGGGTGGTAATTTTTAAGTTTTCTTGGAAAGCTCTTACTTTCTTACAGAATTCAAGAAAATTTAGAATCCTACTTCATATTCAAGTTACTATGGAGATACTTAATGTTACTTATCAGTTATGAGTTTTTCTTCATTTATTTAAAGTAACACTAGCATAGTGAGTAGTAGTGTATCCTTACTATCTTGTGTCTTCTTAAGGTCCTTCCTTGTCATCAGGTTCCACTAGGTGAATGAGGATCCTGTTCTAAGACACACTAGGTATGGACTTTTGGCTTTTCGCACTCTGACAGTTAAAGACCTTGTGCCTTCCTTCCTTTCTTTGCTGAAATAGCCCCAACTTGAGTACTTTGCTCTAGGCAAGCCAGTCTATATAGCTCTGCATCTTCATGTATTCCATTTGGCTTGCTGGGTGTTTTCTCTATCTCATTCCCCAAGCCAAATTCTATCCCTCCTTGAAATCTTCATAAAGTCCTTGAAGCCTTAATTAGCTCCCATTGATTTTAATATAATGTCTTTAAGACATGTTTTGTGAATACTTCTTAGTTCTTGGAAATGATTAGACTTAGACCAAAAATACATTGACTGATATAGAAGGTTCGTGGTTAGAATAGTAGGCTGTTGTGCAGCTCAAATATAACATCAGTGGCTCCATTCCATCATAGTCCTTTTAAGTGCAAAATGAATGCTAAGTCAATACTCATTCTATTACATAGGGTACATAGGGGGAAATGTTACGTTTTGTATTAGAAAAGGAATTATTTCTGAATGAACATTCATTCATCCAACAAATATTTACTTAATATTTCCTTTGTGTTAGGCATGGTTTTAATGGGAAGAGCGGTAACCTTTTCACTAAGGTTCTAATCTTAGGAGCAGAGAAAGTAAGAAAAATAATAAAACAAAGTAAGGTTACATGATAAGTGCTATGGAGAGCAGTGAAGCAGGGAAGGGAGACTGGACTGTTGGGAATTCCAGTTTATTACTGGCTCATGAGAGAAGGCCTCTGACCCAAGAATGGTGAGTATGGAAGCCAAACATACCTCAGGGATTGCAATCCATGAGGAAGGAACAAATATAGAATCCCTACAGCTGGACTGCTAAATAGCATTCAGAACAGAAATGAATAGGGAAAGACAAGTAGGAAATTAAATTAATTGAGAAGGAAGTGAATAGAAATCTAATTGGAAAGGTTGGGGGGGGCACAGTCTGTATTGGACCTACTTTTACTGAGATGATCTTTGCCTTTTACTCTCAGAGTTGAGAAGCCTGTGGAGAGCCTTTGGCAAATACATGAAGCTATGTGATTTTCGCTTTAAAATTATTACTCTAGCTCCTGCTTTCACTCCCTTTAGAAGGGAAAGAGAAGAAGGGAGAGGCATTAAGAAAGCTAGTGCAATAGCCCAGGGAATAGTCAAGTTGTCTGCAGTGGAAAGGAAGAAAACAGAAATTTTACCTCCACTGACTTACTTTGAGAACTGTGGGAATTCATGCAAACATTTGATGAAATTACTTCATGATGAGCTAAAAAGATTCCTTATGGATGAGTTTAGGCAAACACATGAAAACTATTCTGATACCTTTGAAATTATATTTGACAGACAAACCCAACATGATAGACTCAATGAGGAACAGCAGTTTTCCTACTAAGTCTAAGTTAATTTATCCATGCACACAAGGCAAACTTTATTTTTAAAGTATTTTCAAGCTTCTTTTGTTAAATACAGAATCAGTAATCATTCCAGTTGGATAAAACAGTTTTGTGTTGGATAAAATGTATATTTTTAGTTTATCTTAATACAATTTCAAGGAAAAATAATTGTCAGAAAATAACAGTACTTAGAGTTTGCATACCTTATCTTTGCAAAAGAAAACAATCTGATATTTACTATTCTAAGATATATTTGTAAAATAAGCTATACGACTATAGATACTGCAAAAAATGAAAGAATTAAATCTCAGTATCGCTGCATGCATATTTGGAGACAACACAGAGGCACTGCATGCATCACTAGTGGACTAACCAGCCCCTACAAAGGGAAGTCCCTCTCCCTTCTTTCCAATTCCAGTGTCTCTCTTTTTGCGATTCACAGTACCATTCCAGAAAACAGCTTTCTGGGCATAATCTGCTATGGATTTTTTCAAATATTCAGGATTGTCTGTTCATCTCACTTGTTTTGGAAAAGGTCAGCCTTGTTACACATAGCCTCCTAAAGTTACTGGTCGCTTATCTAAATGTCTTACATAATTCTGTGTTCCTTCCTGGAATGGGGGAGGGCTTGTCCAACAGCTGCCTTAAGAGAATAAGGACAGACTAAGAAGGTGGTAGCACACAGAGAGCATTCTGTCTGTAGGAATGGGTGGGGAATTGGGCTTTCTGCAGAAAGAAAATCTCTCTCTCTCTCTCCCTCTCTCTCTCTCTCTCTCTCTCTCTCTCTCTCTCTCTCCCTTTCTCTCATGCACACACACACACACACACACACACCCAGGAGACCTGCCTAGGGTGGTGGGACTTGAAGGTTACCATCTTCAGTTCCAGTCCTAACAGAAACAGACATGCTCTGCACTTCCATCTGCCTGCTGTGCCATCCTCTGTCCCCAGGTACTGTTTTCTCATAGGATCTAGGTATGCATGGCAAATCTCTGAGGACTTAATTTTTTTTTAAAAGGGGAAGGGGGAACTGGAGATCCACTCTCTTTCCACACCCTTAGTTGTTTTTCCTGTGCTCTAGGATTTAAGGAGTAAAATGGTGTTCAGTCAAAATTCCTGTTGGCAAGCTTACCCGCCCACCTTTTCCAGATTGTGTAACTAGGTGAACTTCTCGGATCTCCCCCATTTCTGACCCTGAACACACACATACACATATATGCACCCACTCATCCATCAGAGACAGTCTCTACCCATGATGACAAGAGACTGGCAAAACAAAAAACATCCACACCAGCCAACAATTAAACAAACACAGCCCAAATCTAAAGTCATTTCTCTCTCCTTAGTACAACACCCGTCCTTAAAATATTCACATCTCTCCAGTCTACCTGAGGACCAACAGGTCACCCTACGAAGCCTCCACCTTCTTCATCCTTCTTCATCTCCTAACCCAGCATGCTCCATCACCACGGTTCTAAAAGAAGGCGCCGAAGAGCTGGATGATTAAAACTTTAAAAATAGAAGGACAGGGCTCGGGGTGCCTAGGAAGGGCCCAGCACAGGGGGATTGGGTCTCCCTGGACTGCAGCCCAGACAAGTGGGGGAAGGGTGCGCCCCGCTAGGGTCAGGCGCCCGCGGTGGGGACCAGCCCGTCCAGTGCCTCGGGACAGGAAGGAAAGCGGGCGACTCCCCAAGTCCGCTGTCCCCAGCGTACCCCAGCCGGTTACTCCAGAAAACTCCCGCACGGCCGCCGCGGGCAACTGCTTCTGGCAGCTCCAGAGAAAGGGAAAGATAACCGAGCTTCAGGGAAGAGCAAGGACACC